CCAGTTCTTCACATCAGAATGGTAGACTGCCTGCAAGGCGCTGTTGTCGACATGACTCTTGGTCATGTCGGCATCAAAGTGCAACCTGTGCTCCACCTGCAAGATCAGAACCAAACGGAATCAGAAATGACGACTTCTCGATATGACTTGACGACAGGTTAAAGCTAGTGTACTCGCACTTACCCCCATGAACCAGAATGAGAGCATGTGGAGTGTTAGGATGATGACGGCGTGGCCCGGACGGAAGAAGGAGGCTATGATGGCCTGGATGAAGCACTCCGTGGCAAAGGGGACACCGAGGTCGTCCCTGTGCCACGTCAACAAACCGTGCGACTTGGCGTCTGCGTGACACGTGGGTTCAGAAAGCATCAGGGGGAATGGACTCTTGGGGGAATATTGAACCTTTAACGAAAGAGTTGAATAGGTAGTCCAAAACGGTAGTGGGATGTGATAGTAAGGGTGGAGAGCTAGGTTAAAACAATGATGGGATGGGAAAAACTGGGCAAAGAGGTATGATAAAACAAACGTTGGATTGGGGAAACGTGATGTGAAGGTAGACCAAGTCACTAGTGGGATAGGAATAAAATGGTGGGGATGTAGGCTAGAACCATGATGGTATGGCAGAAATTGGGCCGGGAGGTATGCTAAAACGGTAGAGTGAAGGGGAAAACAAGGCGAGGAGGTAGACCAAAACATTAATGGGATGGGAGAGAAAGGGTGGGGAGGTAGGCTAAAGCAACGATGGGATGGGAAAAACAGGGCAGGGAGGTATGCTAAAAAAGAAGTGGGAATGGGACAGAAATGGTAGGGAAGTGGACCGGAAAATTAAAGGGAAGGGAAAAACAGGGCAGGGAGGTATCCCACAACAATAGTCGGATGGAAAAAACAGGGCAACGAGGTAGGCTCCACCAGAAGTGGGATTGGAAAAACACGGTTGGGAGGTAGATCAAAAGAGTAGAGCGATGGGAGAGACAGGGTGGGGAGGAAGGCTAGAACGGTAGAGGGATGGGATAAACTGTGCAAGGAGGAAGACTAAACAATAGAGGGATGGAAAAAAGAGGGGCGGTTGGCGACAACAGAGGTCGGATGGGAAAAACAGGGTGGAAAGGTAGAAAAAAACAGTAGTGGGAAGGGAGAACAGGGCGGGAAGGTATGACAATAAAGTACAGCGAGGGAAAGAATAGGGCTGGAAGGAAACATTAAAGAGAAGAGGGATGGGATAAAAGGTGCAAGGAGGTTGGCTAAAATAGATGCGGGATGGGAAACAGAGGGTGGGAAGGTGGAACAAATTAGTAGTGGGTTGGGAACAAAAGGGTGGGGAAGTAGGCTCAAACAAAGACGGGATGGGAGAAACAGGGCGGGGAGGAATGCCAAAACGATAGTGGGATGGGCTGAAAAATGGTGGGGATGTAGGCTAAACAAGAAGAGGGATGGGGAAAATAAGGCAAGGAGGTAGGCTAGACCAAAAGTCGGTTGAGAGAACTGGGTGGGGAGGTAGACCAAAATATCAAGTGGGATGGAACAGAAATGGTGGGGAGGTGGGCCGGAAAATAAACAGGGATGGGAAAAACAGGGCAGGGAGGTGTGCCAGAACAGTGGTGGGATTGAGAAGAACAGGGCAACGAGGTAGGCTCTACCCGAAGTGGGATTGGAAAAACTCCGGGTTTGGGAGGTAGACCAAAAGAGCTGGTGATGGAAGAGACAGAGTGGGGAGGAAGGCTAAAACAATAGAGGGATGGGATGAATTGTGCAAGGAGGAAGGCTAAACAGTAGAGGGATGGGAAAAAGAGGGTAAGGAGGGTGGCTACAACAGAGGTGGGATGGAAAAAACAGGGTTGAAAGGTAGAAGAAAATAGTAGTAGGATGGGAGAAACAGGGCGAGAAGGTTTGCTACTAAAGTAGAGTGAGGGAAAAAATAGGGCACGAAGGAAGCATAAAAGAGTAGAGGGATGGGATAAAAGGTGCAAGGAGGTAGGCTAAAATAGATGTGGGATGGGAGACAGAGGGTGGGAAGGTGGAACAAAACAGCAGTGGGATGGGAACAAAAGGGTGGGGAAGTAGGCTCAAACAAAGACGGGATGGGAGAAACAGGGCGGGGAGGAATGCCAAAACGATAGTGGGATGGGCTGAAAAATGGTGGGGATGTAGGCTAAACGAGAAGAGGGATGGGGAAAATAAGGCAAGGAGGTAGGCTAGACCAAAAGTCGGTTGAGAGAACTGGGTGGGGAGGTAGAACAATATATAAAGTGGGATGGAACAGAAATGGTGGGGAGGTGGGCCGGAAAATAAACAGGGATGGGAAAAACAGGGCAGGGAGGTGTGCCAGAACAGTGGTGGGATTGAGAAGAACAGGGCAACGAGGTAGGCTCTACCCGAAGTGGGATTGGAAAAACTCCGGGTTTGGGAGGTAGACCAAAAGAGCTGGTGATGGAAGAGACAGAGTGGGGAGGAAGGCTAAAACAATAGAGGGATGGGATAAACTGTGCAAGGAGGAAGGCTAAACAATAGAGGGATGGGAAAAAGAGGGTAAGGAGGGTGGCTACAACAGAGATGGGATGGGAAAACCAGGGTTGAAAGGTAGAAGAAAACAGTAGTAGGATGGGAGAAACAGGGCGAGAAGGTTTGCTACTAAAGTAGAGCGAGGGAAAAAATAGGGCACGAAGGAAGCATAAAAGAGTAGAGGGATGGGATAAAAGGTGCAAGGTGGTAGGCTAAAACAGATGCGGGATGGGAGACAGAGGGTGGGAAGGTGGAACAAAACAGCAGTGGGATGGGAACAAAAGGGTTGGGAAGTAGGCAAGACGGGATGGGAGAAACAGGGCAGGGAGGAATGCTAGAACGATAGTGCGATGGGGAAGAAATTGGTGGGGACGTAGGCTAAACCAGAAGAGGTATGGGGAAAAGAGGGCAATGAGGTACGGTACACCAAAAGTCGGTTGAGAAAACTGGGTGGGGAGGTAGACCCAAATAGAAGTGGGATGGGAAATAAACGGTGGGAAGGTGAGGTGGAAAACTTAAAGGGGTGGGAAAAACAAGGCAGGGAGGTGTGACCAAACAGTAGTGGGATGTAGAAGAACAGGGCAAGGAGGTAGGCTCCACCTGAAGTGGGATTGGAAAAACACGGTTGGGAGGAAGACCAAAAGAGTAGTGGGATGGGATAGACAGTTTGGAGAGGAAGGCTCAAACAGTAGAGGGATGGGATAAAGTGGGCAAGGAGGAAGGCAAAACAGTGGATGGATGGGAAGAAAAGTGTAAGGAGGTTGGCTACAACACAGGTGGGATGGGGAAAACAGGGGTGGGGACGTAGGCTGAACCAGTAGAGGGATCGGAGAAACAGGATGGGGAGGAAGGATAAAGCCACGAGGGGAGGGGAAAAATAGGGCGGGGAGAAATGCTAGAATAGAAGTGGGATTGGAAAAACAGGGTGGGGATGTAGACCAACACACTGCTGGGATGGGGGTCAAAGTACAAGAAAGTATGCTAACCCCACTCGAGGGATGTGAAAAACATGTTGGGGATGAAGGCTACAACGATAGCGGGATGGGATTAAACGTGCAAGGAGGCAGGCTAAAACTACGGTTGAATTTGAAAGAAACGGTGGTTGCGGAGGCTAAAAAAACGATGGTATATGAAAAAGAGGACAAAGTGGTATGCCAGAACAGTAGAAGGATTGGAAGCACAGGGTGGGGAGGTAGAAAAAAACAGTACTGGGATGGGAGAGACAAGGTGGGGAGGAAGGCTAAAACAAAAGAGGGATAGGATGAAGATTATAGGGTGGTAGGCTAAAAGAGAAGCGGGATGGGGGAAACATGGTTAGAATGTAGAACAAAACATCACAGGGATGGGATAAACAGGGTGGGAAGGTATGCTTACATGGTAGAGGCAAGGCGCAAAAAAGCGGCGTTTTTTTCAAGATTTTGTCGTTTTAAACGACATCGTAAGATTCCGTCGTTTAAAACGATAAAAAGCGGTCAATGTGCCCTTTTTTGTTATGGTGCAAAAAAGCGATCGTTTTATACGATCGCTTTTTTTGTACCCAACAATTGAAAACGTATATCGCGTATGTTGGTTTGGCTGACTCGATTTTGGTGTCGCTCCAAAGTCAGATTCGACCTGACACAATTTTCCAACGAAACGCGACTCAGCGCCAATGTCGATCCGCGAATTGGATCCAATTCGCGAAGCCGGTGCGAACTGTACCCCACTGTCGCTAATGGCCTGGTGTACAGTTTCGCGCCTGAAAATGAGTTCGCGATGTACGCGACACATCGCGAACCTGACGTGTCGCAAATTTCCCAATCCCCACAGAGGTGTGCACCCTTTCAAACGACTTCATCAAACGGCCTTCACGATTATTGTCGAGTTGAGCACATACAAATGTGGAGCACGACAGAACACGTGAGTGCATCTCAAATTCCAGAGACTAAGAATCTTAGCTAGCTCAGTCAGTGGTAGCAGCACCGCCCAAGACCACAGTTCCGCCATGCCGCGGACTCTTTCTCGCTTGTGGGAACACGTCACCCGCACGTTTGATGACGACGGTAAACTCGTTAGGGTCCAGTGTAATCACTGCACCCAAACCATGACGTCAAGTGCCACACGAATTCAGGAGCACCTTTTCGGTACCCCGGCCACGAAGTCAAAGAATATCGCCATGTGCACCTCCGAGCTCGCGCGGACGCTGCGCGAGAAGGGAAACACCGCCGGATCTTCGCGTAGCTCGGCCTCCACGTCGACGAGCGAGGCGACGACGTCCAAGGCGCAAGTCCAGCTCGATATCCGTGCGATGTCGGATCAGGCTGGCAAGGAGCGTCTTGACCACTTGTGGGCCGTCGCGGTGGCCGAGAATGACTGGGCCTTCCGGTGTTCCCAGTGAGTAGTCCTCTCTCTATCGCCATTGATGCTCCCGCAGCATTTCTTTCGCACCCGTTCCTCGCGTGGCACGCACAGCACTCCCCTCGCTCTAAGTCCCCGCCTTTTTCCACCCTCCAGGTCCAGGCGTTCGTGAACGCGGCAGTGGCGTACGGGAAGCCGTACAAGCTACCCTCGGCATACAAGGTGTCGGGGCCCCTGCTCCAGAAGTTGAAGGCCGACACCTTCGAGTTGGTGTCGCCCCTCAAGGAGACTTGGAAGTCCGTCGGCTGCACCTTATCAGTCGACGGCTGGTCTTGCTTGAAGAGCCGCGCCATCGTATGCGTCATTGCGCAAAACGAGAGCGGCCCGGTGCTCGTCGATGTAGTGGACTCTAAGACCGCCAAGAAGACAGGGTCTTACTTGGCGGCCTTGATCTGCAAGGCCATATGTGAAGTCGGCGACAAAGCCGTTGTCCAGTGCGTGATGGACAATGCCAGCAACAATAAGAAAGCGTCCAGCCTTTTGAAGGAGGGCTTTCCGGCCATTTTTTTCACCAACTGTGCCGCTCATTGCCTAGACCTGATGCTGAGTGACATTGGGGGCATCCCCGTAGTGCAGAAGGAGCTAGCGGAGGCGCAGCGGGTAGTGATGATGGTTAAGAACAGTGCGAGCGCCGTCATTCTCTTTAGGGAGATTTTCAGCCAGCTCGAACTTATCAAACCTGGAGCCACTCGTTTTGGAACCCAGGTGATAATGATCACCCGGTTCCTTGCTGTGAAGGAGTCTTTGTTGCGGCTGGTCATTAGTGAGGAGTGGAAGGGGGTAGCCGTCAGTGGGACAAAGGAGGGTCAGGAGATTCGGGCGATGCTGCTGGAGGAGAAGTTCTGGGAGTCCATGAACGTTGTACTCCGGCTCATGCAGCCAGTGTACGACGTCCTTCGAGCAGTGGACACGCGAGCACTACTGATGGCCAAGATCTATGGCCTCATGGTCGAGGCCACGGTCAAGACCAATGAGGCGGCTAGTGCTGCGGGTAAGTCATCCGCTTTTGTCCCCCTCCCAGCTTTCTTCTCTGCCCTTTGCATGCTGGGCTGGATCCCCTTCCCGGATCCCCGCTCTCTCTCCACCCAATCCCCATTTCCACAGCTACTTTCTTCATTAAGAAGACCGAGCTGATGGAAGCGAAGGACAGAGCCGCCTTCTTGGCTAGCGTGAAGAAGATTGTTGCAAAGAGGTGGGACGCTCAGCTGCACAACCCCCTCCATGCTATGGGGTGGCTGCTGAGCCCCCTCAACCAATTTGCTGACGAGGTGTGGGGCGACACAGAGCTCCGCAAAGGGGTTGACGCCGTGCTCAAGGCACGTGAGTCTGACCCCGGACGGCGCACCATGCTGCAAGCACAGCTGCAGTCATTCCACAAGGGGGAGGGGAAGTTGGGGGGGAAGGACGCGAGGTGGGCGGCTTCCGCTCTGGTCTAGTGCGGAAGGATGTCGGAGGCCGAATGGTGGCTCATCCACGGAGAGGAGGTGCGCCAGCTGCAGGAGCTAGCGGTCAGGATCCTCTCCCAGCCCATCACCTCGTCTGAGGTTGAGCGTTGGTGGTCAGCCATGGCTCGAGTCCAGCGGCGTGACCGAAACAACCTCAGCCCCGAGACCATGATTGACATCACATGGGTCGCCTTCAGCAGGCGCGCCCGGGCTGCGTTCGACCTCAAGCTAGAGCTACGCTCGAAGCTCTATGCCGACCTTGATTCTGGAAGGCTGAAGGAAGGCTGCAGCGTGCCCGAGGCGCCCCCTCAGCAAACCGAGCCGGCAGAGGAGGAGGAGGGGGAGGATGCCGTGGGCTGTGCCATCGATTGGAGGAAGTTCGGGGCAGCCGGGGGGTGGAAGAAGAAGCGGTCAGCCAAGCGCAAGGCCGGGAAGCGGGCAAAGAAGATGGGCGGGTCCAAGAAGGGCAAAGAGAAGCGTGCAGCAGACTCGGATGAGGACGAAGAAGCAGGGAGCTCTAGTGAGAGCGGGGGGGATGAATCCCACGAGAGGCGCAAGGGGGGAGCACCATGGGAGCAGAGCGGGAGTGAGAGCGGGGAGGAGGATGACGAGGAGGAGGAGGAGGATGAGTAGAAGTAGTAAGGGGGGGGTTAGGGGCTGGAGGAAGGCAGGGAGCTTTGCTCACGGGGAAAGTGGAGGAGGATTAGGAATAGTAGGGGGGGGACGGTAGGGGCAGCGCGATAGGGGTAGGGAGCTCTACCCACCTCTTTTATGGCGAATCTGTTGTCGTAGTCAGTGCAGTATGCCTCAGGGATAGGGCCATGCAGTTTTTAGACTCATTAATAAAAAAATTGTGACTGGAGTTTTCGAACAAAAAAAGGCGCTTTTTTCAAAAAAAAGCCGTATAAAACGATCGTATTAAACGGCCCGTTTAAAACGACCATCGCTTTTTTGCGCCTTGGGTAGAGGAATGGGAAAAATAAGGGCGGGATGAAAGGAAACAACAGTGGTGGGATCTGATAAACAGCGCAAGGGGGTAGTCTAAAACAGAAGTGGGATGGGAAAAACATGGTGGGAAGGTGGAACAAAACAGTAGTGGTATGGGAACAAAAGGGTGGGGAACTAGGCTATAACAAAGGCAGGATGGGAAAACCAGACTAGGGAGTTATGCAAAAACAATACTGGGATGGGAAAAACATGGTGGGGAGGTATGCTACACCAGTAGTGGGAAGGGAAAACCAGGGTCGGGAAGTACAGCAAAAGAGTAATGGGATGTGGGAAGAGACGGTGGGGAAGGACGCTACAACAATGGTGGGATGGGAAAAACAGGGAAACGAGGTAAGCACAAACAGTAGTGGAATAGGAAGAACAGGATGGGCGGGTAGACCAGACAGTAGTTGGGTGGGAAGAACGGAGGGATGGGTATGTAAAAACAGTAGTGGGATCAAAATGTATTAGGGTGGCCAGGTAGGCCTAACCAGTAGTGGGATGGGAAAAGAATAGGGGGGGGGGAAGGCTAAAACAGTAGTCACTCGAAATATAGGGTGGGGAGTTAGGTTACAAGAGTATTCGTATGGGAAAATCAGGGTGGGTAGGTTAAAGAACAGTAGTGGGATGGGACAACCAAGGTGGGTAATCCACCAGAAACAGAAGTGGGATGGTGAAAACAAGGGTTTAGGAGGAACAATTTAAATACGCCTGATGGATTCAAAAGCAAGCTGGGGGAATGTTTGCATGGTAGAGTGAAACGAAATTCCAAGGAAATTGCGGGAAAGAACGCAACGGCTCGAGGATGCCTAAATGGATAAATACAAGGTAAAATAATGCGGGAGGGGTCAGGTTCAATGGTAGAAGGGGGGGGGGGGGGATGCGAGGGGACAGAAAAGGCAGTAAGGGCCAGTCAAACAGATGCTAGGCCATGGCATGGATTTGGAGAGCATGGGAAGGGAAAGGGGAGGTCACACCTGCTTTGTAAGTGTCACGCCAGACGCGCCTCTCCATCTTCCCCTCCCTCTTAGGTGACGGACGGTTACCAAGTAGAATGTCGAGGTTGAAGAATTGTGCCACAGTCTTCCTCCCGTTTGTGAGCAGATCGTTGCGAAAGTCCTGCAGGAACTTCTGCATGTAGCCTGACCTGCGGGTGTCGACGTCGTAAACCAGCTGGAGCTGGTCGTGCTGCCATTGGTACTTCAAATTCATCGCGCGCCCCAAAGTCCTGCAGGAAACACTTCCTTGGGGGGTAGAAGTTCACGTCGGCATCCGCTCTCTCGAATATCATGATGTCGACGGTCCGACCCATCTTGGTCTAGGGTGGAATGTGAGGGGTGGTGGGAAACAGAGGTGGAACGAATGGGATGGGGATTGAGGAAAGTAACGATGTGGCATTGGCAAAGCTGATGCACAGCAAATATTCATCTATACAAATGACCTGTAACAGAAAACTACAAACATGTCACCAATGAAGGGAGTCGGTAGCCAGGTGTCGAAGGTCAGGTGACAACTTACGCGGAGGCCATTGGTTTTGGTTGGGATTGCCTTCATAGCACGGTCCAGGGTTTGGACCCATTCTTCATCTTGGGCGGCTACAATCTCCCCAAGAGGGAGTTGTACACCAGAGTCATATGCCAGGCCAAGACGGTCCGCGATCTGCCCTCTTGTAAGCACCATGGCCGGCCCGACGTGGGGAACGGGCGCCTTGGGGGAATGGGGGCGGAAGACTGGGGGGGGGGGAGGAGAGGTTGAGACGTGAATCTATTGTAACAAGACCCACCCAACGTTGGGCATAGCACATGGAAGGTACGGGCTGAGCGCAGGAACGGGGTGGTAAGGGAAGGGAGGGTAGGTGGGAAGGTGGGGGGTGAGGGGGCACAAAGACCCATGATGCTGCATCTGAGAAAAAGGGAACGTCGGGGGTGAGTGTTGGTAGGGCCTTAGTTACTACATACGCTCTTGCAGTCACGCTTTTAGCGTTAAAACGCTTGCGTTATAAATTTTACCCCTGCGTCGGCACGCGTTTGTCTAGTGTTCACACGCACACTGCCAAGCGTGTAGCGTTCAAACGCCAGACGCATTTGTAGCAACTAAGGGTATAAGGTGAGGGTAGGTTTTGGGGGGCGCAGAGGGAAGGGGGAGTATGTGGGCTGAATCTGACATAGGAGACGTACCACGGTTGGCATGACAACGCCTTGATGAACGTCTTGGGGTTCAGCCATGCCAGCTGGGCCAAAGCTGGGCGCCACTTGGGTCCAAACCTCTGCCGTGCCCCTCGCGGAGCTGGGGGGACGCTGGCGGAGCAATCTGTTCTCGTTCTCGATCTCCTTCAAGCAGCGCTGGAGCTCCCGGTTTGCCTGCTGCTGGCGCGCCAGCTCCGTCGATGCGCCGTTCCCGACAACGCCGTAGTCATGCTCCCGTTCGGTGTCGAAGATGAGATCACCCCCGTCGTTGTCCGAGAACTCGTGTGTCTCCTCTAGCACCACTGAGTCGAAAGTAAAGACACCTGTTGGGGAGGGCTGGCTGGCAGTAGTCAATCCTGCAGCCGGGGATATAAAGGCAGGTGAACCTATATAAGTGGCAACGAAACATGAAACAAGAGAGGTGTATGGCATGGACGCAAACAGCATAGGAACGAAGAAAAGGTGGCGGAGCAGAGTACAGCCCATGTAAAAGGTCATGGCAAGAAGAAAAATACAGATGCGCACCAGGAAATACCCGCCCGTAAAAGGCAAGAGAGCGCGACAAGTGTGGGTGCTGGCACTTACCATGGCATTGAGAACCAAAGGGTCCTGACACATCACGCGGCTGCTGATTTTTTGGAGATGTGGTGCCCCGGGACGGAGCTGGTGGGGAAGACGCATTGACGAGGGGGTGGGTGTAGGGAGTAGAGGCGCTACGATCCAGGTGTTGATAGGGACGAGAGGCGTTTGTGTGCACGTTAGGGTGAGGAGCCATGGAGGGGGGGGGAGGAGAAGGCACGTGAGGGGGCAGTCGTGGGATGTGAGAATTGACGTTATGGTGCTGAGGAGGGTTAGAGGATAAGGCAGTGAAATGCAGGTGTGGATTAGGGGAGAAGGCATACGACTGCTGGTGAGGTGGAGCAGAAGAGGCGTGCAGGTGCTGCTGAGGGGGAGCAGAGGAGGCGTGCAGGTGTTGCCGAGGGGGAAGAGCGGAGGCGTTCAGATGCTGCTGAGGGGGAGGGGAGGAGGCGTGCAGGTGCTGCTGAGGGGGAGGAGAGACGGCGTGCAGGTGCTGATGAGGGGGGGGAGAGGATGAGTTCGGATGGTGCTGAGGGGGAGAAGAGGAAGCGTGCAGGTGCTGCTGAGGGGGGGCAGAGGAGACGTGATGGTGCAGCTGAGGGGGAGCAGAGGAGGCGTGCAGGTTCTGCTGAGGGGGAGGAGAGGTGGCGTGCAGGTGCTGCTGAGGGGGGGGAGAGGATGCGTTCGGATGCTGCTGATGGGGAGAAGAGGAAGCGTGCAGGTGCTGCTGAGGGGGGACAGATGAGACATGCGGGTGCAGCTGAGGGGGAGCAGAGGAGGCGTGCAGGTGCTGCTGAGGGGGAGGAGAGGCGGAGTGCAGGTGCTGCTGAGGGGGGGCAGAGGAGACGTGCGGGTGCTGCTGAGGGGGAAGAGAGGAGGCGTTCAGATGCTGCTGAGGGGAGGAGAGGAGGCGTGCAGGTGCTGCTGAGGGGGAGCAGAGGAGGCGTGCAGGTGCTGCTGAGGGGGAGGAGAGGCGGAGTGTAGGTGCTGCTGAGGGGGGGGAGAGGATGTGTTCGGATGCTGCTAAGGGGGAGGAGAGGAAGCGTGCAGGTGCTGCTGAGGGGGGGCAGAGGAGGCGTGCAGGTGCTGCTGAGGGGGAGGAGAGGCGGAGTGCAGGTGCTGCTGAGGGGGGGGAGAGGATGCGTTCGGATGCTGCTGAGGGGGAGGAGAGGAGGCGTGCAGGTGCTGCTGAGGGGGGCAGAGGAGACGTGCGGGTGCTGTTGAGGGGGAGCAGAGGAGGCGTGCAGGTGCTGCTGAGGGGGAGGAGAGGAGGCGTGACGGTTCTGCTGGGGGGGAGCAGAGGAGGCGTGCAGGTGCTGCTGAGGGGAAGAGCGGAGTCGAGCAGGTGCTGCTGAGAGGGAGGATAGGAGGTATGCAGGTGCTGCTGAGGAGGGAGAGAGGAGGCGTTCATATGCTGTTGAGGGGGAGGAGAGGAGGAGTGCAGGTGCTGCTGAGGGGGAGGAGAGGAGGCGTGCAGGTGCTGCTGAGGGGGAGGAGAGGAGGCGTGGAGGTCCTGCCGAGGGGGAGTAGAGGAGGCGTGCAGGTCCTGCCGAGGTGGAGGGGAGCAGGCTCTCAGGTGATGTTGAGGGGGAGGGGAGAGAGCGTTAGGGTGCTGCTGAGGCAGAGGGGAGGAGGCGTTAAAGTCCTGCTGAGGGGGAAGAGATGCGTCCTTCGCCCCGGCACGCGGGGGAGAAGCAGCATCGTACTGTCGCTGTTGAGGGGGAGTAGATGAGGCGCTCAGGGGCTCCTTATGGGGAGAAGAGGATGCAATGAGGAGCGGCTGACGGGGAGGAGCGGATGCATTCAAGAGTGCAGAAACAGCGGCCTGGTGTCGAATGACAAGGGAGGGTGCATTGGGGGCGTGCTGCATAACGTGGGAAGGTGCAGCGGCGTGTGACCGGGCGTGCGTGACACCTGCAGCTGTGGGTACCAAGACCGTTGCGGCACTACTCGAGGCGCGATACTGGGATGACGCCACGCCATGGGCGCCCA